ACCGGCATGGGGAGCACCCGACCGTACTGGACTCTCAATAGTCCCAGATCGGCTTTTGCCTACATCAAAAGTATGTAGGGGAAGTTGGGGGAACGCCGAATACTTTTTTTCTGACGCCCGTAGCACGCAAGGTAGACAACATAAGCTATTCTTGTTGGCGTCATTCGAGAGGCCAGTCTTTTGCCTTTCAAACATACCAGGCGGCGCGCATTTGATGAATTCACATACCATTAAGCGCACAAACTAAAAATATCAAAGAAGTGACTTTTTCGGCGTTGCCCCGGACTGCGGGGAAAGCCGAAAATGGGAGAAATGATCTACGGGGAATGCCGACATTGATGTTTTGCCACTTTATCTCAAACTTTATCCAGAATTTATCAAAGCTGGCACGCGTTTTAAGAGCTTGAGGACGCTTGGTGCACACTGGAAGTTATAATTGTGTGATATAATAAGAAAATGCCAGGTAAATAATTCCTTATAGGTAACAGGCCGTTGTGTCAGTTGAAAGTGTAATTTGTGTGACTAAAAATTCGCGTTGCTATTCTACAGTGGCCGCAAAAGAAATCTTGACAAAGGTCAAATACAATGCAATTGCAATTAGTGAACCTGCTCGTATATCTCTCGCACCAGAGGTACTAGAATAGCAGCAGTAAGGTCCACGTAGCGTGCTTTAACGTGCGTAATTGCACGTTTTCGGCATTACCCAGCCAGCCATACTTTCATTTGCAGGCCCATAACTTTTCAACGTGCCGTATACATTTCAAATAGGCAGCACACTTATGCAAAGACATGCTGAAGATTACTTGACCGAATTGGCCAGACAAACGGTAGCATAATGAGTAAGAAATGCAGCTTCAAAAGCGCATGTAGTACAAGGAACGCGTACCTTGAAAACGCTCTTGGCGCCCTCACAGCCGAAGTATTCCGAATGACGACTCGTAACAAACATGCGATAATTGTAGTCACTTAAGCTTCAGAGCATCACTGACAGGTGGCATCCATGTCTTACGGTTTTCGAAATATCTCGAATTTCGGCTTTGCCCCAACTCCGGCATTGCCCCAACTTCCCCTAATAAATGATTTGACGGGCTGTTTGAAGGACAGCCTACGGATTTAGGGGGGCGTCTTTCCCCATCAGGACAGGGGGCATCTTACCCCAAGGTACCGAAGTAACATTAAATCAGTACAATCTGTTAGCCATAAAACTACACCCTGAAACAAACTGTTTGGGACACAGTACACGGATGCTAATGTATCACGACTATAGCAAGGGACGCAAAAATTATTTACCTTCTTTGATATTTACAATGTTTTGACACCAAAATATTTTTTGAAAGCAGCAAATAAAAAACATGCAATCATCAGCCAGCCGTTGCCCAACTGAGCTTCGCAATTTTTTGTGCAGTTAACAAGGAAGGCTTCCGCTTTACGCTAAGAACATTAATTTCCAGGTCCGATTCTTTGTTTCGCCGCTAGAGGGGGTGGGGCGTCTTTCCCACCCTGGGCATCTTACCCCACTCTCCCCTACTATGAATACCCGGCAAGACGCCTATTGGTTGACCTGACCTGACCTGACCCGACCTTACCTAAAGGCATGAAGACATCTTAACTGTGATAAAAAACATGATACTCGTGATCAGTACACCGAAAAACCCCATGGCAACCTCACTTTACGATGTTCTAACAGTTCACGATTTTCGCGGCTTTTGGGTCATTGACCTGACCTGGAATGTCAACCAATGACCTAAAACCTTAAAATTGTATATCACCGTCTTTATCTCGTCATGGGCAACACGCTCGCTTTTTCCGTGAAGCTCTAGCTCGATCAGGGACCAAACGTCTAAGGGGTCCAACGACCCCCCATACGTTCGAGACTGGCAAAACACCCATACGGGCGAGGTTTAAGTGCCATGTCTATTGTTCTAACCTATGATTTGATATGGCATATCATGTGTGACATGGGCCAGCAATTTGACAGCGGCACCTTGATGACCTCCTCCCCGGCCGCGTGCGATGTAACAACCCTGCACAATGCCACAGGCTCGATGGGGGCTGTCACAGCTCGACCCGTATATCTTGTCCGATCAAGCCCTTCCAAAGGTGCGGCCGTGCCTGGATCATGCGGTAGCACCACGTCACCGTCTGCTCGATTGTATTGTGTTGTCCTGTCTGTCCGTGGGTGGATGTCGGGCCGGCAACTGATCAGACAGTGGTCGAAGCGTGTTCGGCGGTGTCGGTCGGGCGCAGACGTGGCTCAGGATGACATCACGAGGATCACGGTGTGGCACGTCACCCCTAACCAGCTCACGTCACACGGCGTCGCCGCACGTCAGCCTCTGTTTGGCTCACATCACGCCGCGGCACGTCACCTCTGGATGCCTCACGTCACGCCACGGCACGTCACCTCTGGATGCCCCACGTCAAGGCGCGGCACGTCACCCTCTGTTTGGCTCACATCACGCCACTGCACGTCACCCTCTGTTTGGCTCACATCACGCCGCGGCACGTCACCTCAGGATGCCCCCGTCAAGGCGCGGTGCGTCACCGTCTGACCGGCTCGCGTGATGCGCTGGACGTCACCCCGTGACATGGTAGTGCGATGTGGCCTCCCACGCACCCCACGCGCTGATGTCACATCAAACTGGGCGCAGCATCCGAGTACGCAGTACCTGGACCGCGAGGCACCGTCCCGAGCGGCCGCAATCGGTGCACTCTGGTGTGACATAGTTTCCGGCTAACTGCTGCAGAACCGACCCTATCAGTGGCCCCCGGGGAACTGGGCTGCCCCCCGACAGCTTCTGTAGCCGCCGAGATGCAATTGATGAAGTCATCACTGAACGCGGGCGGGCAGAGCCGAGCCCTGAGGGCATTTTTCACCGGCTCTTGGAGCCCGAGGCAGCTCGTAAATCATATTTTAATTTCCTGTCGGTCCGACTGAGGTTCGCGCCACCCCCAGATCGGCCTGGGGGGGGGGGGGCCCATAGGCGGGGGCGTTCGATACTGGGCCAAATACAGAACCTGAACCTGACTTGTAGTGCTCTGCTGTCTGGAACTCCGGCGCTCTGCAGTTTCTCGGCACTCGCCGCGGTTTGGTGTCTCTGGGGCTCGACTAAGACATTTAACAACATAAATATTCTAAGCGCTTATACATTTTGCCTGTGGAAAAGATATTAAAAAAAACTTATCAAAACAGCATCGATTCCAGAGGCCCCCAGAAGAGTTAAGGTGGTCCCGAATGTTTCCGAAAATCGCAATCCTGGAAGTTTAATTACTTAACACTTCAAAACACAGATGTGGCAATGCACAAAAATATTCACTAAGAACTATAAATGCAAGATTGCATTGAAGATAATGGAAAAACATTTTATATCCTGAAAGATTTCTGACGAGTGAGCAAAAGACCAAATGTTCTGATTATGTTGAGACAGCACCTCTTTTTAATGCACTTTCAGTCCCACCTAAGGAGTAATTTCACTTGTAAGAGGAGTGCGGCAGTGAGAGTCTCACTATGCTCGGCCATGATTCCGGGAACTGCCCGAGGGCTCTGCACAGTCGCGACCGGCGCCGGTTTCGGCACCAGACTCGACCAATATCCCCGCGGGCGGCGGCGGCCGACCGACCAAAACCAATATCCGCTCCCGGGAGGGCCGTCTCGGAACAGAATGTGCCCCCGATCGGCGCCAAGGGTGCTGGTAATGTCAGGGTCATGGTATAAAGTTGAACGCCAAAACCTGAATCGAATATATGATTATTGATTTCGATTGTGCTCGACCTTGTCCAGTTGTATATCTAAATTGAATATGCAGTTGCAATATCATTTTCATTATTGTTTGTCACATCTAATCTGCTTTTGATTCCATGGTATCTGAGTGAACACAAAACCCATAATTGGTAACTCTTGTTTCGAAATGTTTTTCCTTTGAAGTACTTTTACCGCTTACGCCTGGCATATGGCATATACGCCGGTACTAAGAATACTGCCACTTAGGGATCAGTTCAAGACTGATGTAGACTTTACGAAAGGTAGTGTATCTCAGGGAGTTTCAGCTTAAACACAGTAAAGACAGTTCGGCTTCCGTAAGCATGATCTGGCCATTTACATTTGGACTTTGTCCAAATGTAATTACAGCTGAGGGTCAGCCTCCCGAGTCATCAAACCAACGTGACACAGGTGGTCGCATGATTGGAGGACCGGGGCGCTGGACATAGGGATCGGTCCGGCCAATTGGCGGCATTGCAGATAGAATCCGCTGTATAATTAATCAGAACGGATTGGGGAGATGGATGAGAAAGGAAGCAATAGTAGAAGCTTGAGCAGTAAAGGCCTGTGTATTGTTTTGTGCTGTGAGAACGGATGTGGCATGAGACAACAACATTACGAAGTCATTACTGTTGTGCTAGTAATCTTAGCACAGTGAAGAAATAATGACGGAATCCACACAGTTAGTAATGCCAAGATCCACTCGGAATCGCTCGTGCAAAAATACCATGAATCATCAGCCATATCGTCCGCTCCAACACTCCAAGACGCCGTGTGCCAACGTAACTAGTTTTCCCACAAACACTTTGAGGAACCGCTAGCTCTGCCAAACACACCACTGCCAGTGCGGACTAGCCTTTCAGACCGTCTAATGGAACTAATGACGTCACTCGGTCCACTGATGACGTCATCAGTCCGATGGCCATCCGTCACAGTCGGCACAGGTGTGGCGCGTGTGCTCAGAGCGGCGCTAATGACCGCCCTAATGGGGCCGACTAAGTGGCGGACGGTGTCGCGTCGGCAGCCGCCGGTCCGACAGTCCGTGTCCCGGCCGCGTCCGGCCAGCCAACAGTGGATCGGGGTGACAGAGACGACCCCAGTGGCTTCAAGGGCTTGGAGGAGAACGACATCTCTACACCCTTGCCGTGGGTTGAAACTCGACCTCTTTCGGTCATAGGCTGCAGTGCAGCAGCCGCTCGAGACAATGGCGGCTGGCGGGAGCGCCGTCTGACGGTCGGGGATGCACACGCTGCTCGCCTCCCTCGGCAGGATGAAGTGGACCCGCTCCAAGGAGCTGAGCGCCCCAGAGCGCAGCGGCATCCCCATCACCTTCCCGACCAGCCACCTGGAGTCCTGGCAGCAGCGCGGCCGGCGCCGGCGCTACCTTCGCCTCCTGATGGCCAAGAGCGCGCTCTTCTTCCTCATCAACTCGGTGACGCTGCCGCAGACGTGGCCCTACCTGCAGTCGGCGCAGCCGGGCGCGCGCAAGACGGCCGCGGCGCTGATCGTCTCTGCCACGCCGCTGGTGCGGGCCTTCAGCGCCCCACTGGCCGGCTGGATGACCCGGCGCGTGTCATTCCGCTGGGTGGCACTGGTCTGTGACCTGCTGACCTGCGCCGGAGGTCTGCTCTGGAGCGCCGCCTACTCCGCCCCGCTGCCGGCTGCCTGGTGGCTGCTGGCGGCTCGCGCCGTGATGGGACTCTGCGGGGGACAGCTGGAGCTGCTGATGACCTACGTGGCACACGGAACCTCCTCAGAGGAGAGAGTCCTGGCCACGGCGCAGGCCGGCGGCACGATCGGCATCGGCACTCTGCTGGGCCCCGGTGTCGTGGCGCTGATGTCGTACATCGGCACCGAGGGGCTCAGCGCTGCCGGCATGCGCTTCAACCAGTTCACTGTGAGCTCGCTGTTCCTCACGGCGCTCTTCACCGCGGTGACCGTGGCGTCCTGCTGTCTCTTCACAGACTCCGACATAGCTGCCGAGGAGAGTCGCATGCTGGCGCTCTCTCACCAGCGCTATCGAGCCCAGTGGTTCGGCCTGTTCGTCTGCCTGCTCGCCTCCGCGCACAGTTTCGGCGCGATGAGGCTGCACGAGTCGCTCCTCGTACCGATGATGATGGAGCTTTACGGATGGGAGGAGACACGCGCCCTGCGGGACGCCGGTCTGGTGCTCCTCCTGGCCAGTGTCGTGGCCATGGCCATCAACAGCCTCTCGGCACGCGCGTCTCAGAAGCACGGCGAGCGTCCCGTGCTGATCGGCGCCCTACTGGGGGCTCTGATCAGCAGTGTGCTGGGGCTGCCGCTCGAGGAGCTGGCCCTCTCGCAGCGCGCGCCCGGCGCCGGCCGGCGCAGCCTCACGCTCTGGCCGGAGCTGCTCTCGGCGAGCGGTAACTCCTCGGCGCGCTGTCCCGGCTACCAGAGCTGGTGTCCGTCGGCGGCGAGGCTGCCGTTCAGCCAGCTGGTGGCCTGCGTCATCCTGACGGCGGCCAGCGCGGCGGTGCTGTTCACCAGCGCGGGTGCCACCTTCTCGCGCCTGCTGCCCGCCTCCGGCCAGGGCCCCTACTGGGGTCTGATGGGCGCCTGTGCCAACGTCGGCCGGTCGGTGTACCCCGTGGCCTTCACGGCCGTGTACTCGCAGCTAGGGCCGCAGATGACCTACCTGGGCCTGACGGGCGTGGTGTCCGTGCTGCTGCTAATGGCGGCGCTCTCCTACAACCAGCTGGTGCCCCCTGTCGTACCACCAGTCACCCACGACAACAATAACTGCGACCCCAGCGTGCAGTGGTACAAACAGGTCTACAGCCAGACCCTGTCGACCATCATGGAGGACCTGGCGAGTGACCTGAAGCAGGCAGAAGGCGCCCAGCGGAGGCGGGGCGAGCTCTCGGAGATCCTCGGCCACGGTCTGACCAACCTCGGCAAAACTGCGCGCGGCGGCGGCCGCGAAGGCCAGGACGATACGGCCGAGAAAACGGCGGTGACCGTACAGTGAGGGACGTTTATTGTGGTCAGTGCAGTGGCCATTTTCGCGGCTATGTGATTAAATCCTCTTATCCGAATGGAAGGCGGTTATTGTGTAGTCTTTTCCTAGCTGGAGTTTCATGGAAGGCTTGGTAGGCGATAGGTGGGACTGTGGTATCCAGATAGTCTTGTCGCTGTGCTAAGCATTGCAGAACGATTACGATGGAGGCAAATGACTGTCGAAAAGGAAATACATGACGCATTTGTGTAGCATGCCCTTCACTCTTCAATTAGGTTCAACGCCTTCCCGAGCATATATCAAATCGCGCTATTTCTCATTTTCTAAATAATGGTAAGTGCAATCCATTTTTTTACGGGGATATTGTGTGCTTGCAACGATGAATGTATACTTGACTGTTTTTTGAAATTATAGTTTTCATATGTTACCCCGATAAGCACCTGTTGTATACAACAGGCGCTCCACGGGGTAAAATATGAAAAGTAAGTGAGTCAGGTAGCCAAGTCATTCAGTGTTCCGCCACAAGCCGGTGGCGAGTGAGCCAGGACACGTGGGCGGCTCCACAAGGCTCCACACTCCACAGAGCTCTAACTCGGAGCGCTAATTACGGGCGCCACATGTAGCGGCGGCAGCCAGTAGCACGTGCAGCCATTCGGCTCTGCTAGCTGTCACCAGCAGCAGTACCGGACACATGCAGGCGCTTTACGAGCACCAGCCGGAAACTATCAGTACTGGAAGTAAAATGACTCTGGGTTGATTCGATATTCCACCTTGACTGATGTCGCTTGTTAGGTCGGAGAATACGGTAATAAAAACAGATTGGAAGCTTATGGCAAGGTCAGGGATACGAAGAAACGTTTGAATAGATTCGGATTTCGGAGCAATATAATTGAGATGTGATCATGAATAGCAAAAATCATTGTGGTGGCTAATGAATACTGGGATGATTTTTTTGCCGATACTGCTTGCTCTATACAGTTATACCTACATTTCAACACGACTGTCTACACAGATGCTTCTTATATCATGCCTTGCTAGTTTTAGAACAATGCGCGATGCGCCTAAACTTGATAAAACTGTGCCCAGTTTTATAAATCCTGGTCTAACGACGTCGTTTCTGCGAAATTAGAGCTACGGTACGAAAAGTTGACAATCACATATGAGACGTTTCTTTAATTAACCGGGCGATTGAAGTCATAAATTGGTTAGCAGAATAAAATGTCTGCAGCTGTGCTGAATTACAAAATTTTCAGCTTTGCATGATCTTAGACGCATTACATTCATGCTTTGTGAGAATTAACACACCGTGTAATTGCTACCGCAAATACGAGGCTGGAATATGAGAGCAATTTTGCCGTGGCAGTGAACTTTTGATGAAGGCAATGTACATACATTACACAATGTGAAATGAGATCTCACATGTGCACCTGCCTTCACAGTAAACAATAGAGAACTTAAGATATGCAGCGGTTATCAGGCGCACGCTGATGACAGTTTAAGGTTGGGACGTAGCCGGCGCTGCTCCCTATGATCAGGTAGCACGTGGTGGCGACTCTGCGCGCGTGTTGAGTGCGCCCTCCGCCCGACTGAGCTGCAGCGGCGCACGAGCGCAGTGGTCCGACGTGCCGCTGTTGAACGGGGTCCGACCTCCCGGCACGGCGCACGGCCGAAATGCACGGTCAGCGCCGACCATTCAGAGCCCGACACGCTGATAGCGCGGCGTGCACTGGCGGCGGCACGTCGGCCCGTGCTGACCGCGCTCCTGCACCGCGCTGCACCACAGGACGGACTGTTGTCCGAGGCAGAGGGGCAGTGACGAGCACTGGGCAGTGCAATGACGGAAAACGTCCAGTCAGCGGCGGCAATGCCACTTCACTGCGCAAAACATGCTGCAACACCTACCTGAACAGATTCACATCAGGTGCACCCTGCTTTTTGCCAAACGAAGACTCGCAATTGCATGGATGGCAGTGTGAGGCCCTTCTATATTTGATTAGAGTTCATACTCAAACAAACACCCATACACATGTAGGCACTTACATACCATTCGTTGTGTCTATAACGGAAAGCATGCTCGTTTTTTTCTGAGGAGCTTCAAATAAATAAGAAACGGAAGGACAATTTGGGTTTGTAGCACGTAGAAAATCAACAGGTTAGACCAATTTTGATAGGGTTGAGGATCTTGTGGCAACATCACGGGATATGGTTACCGATATGGGTATCATGAAAGACCAATGATGCATGGTGCAGATAAGACTGCAAAGGCAATCACGCTCAGTTTGTGTTTCACACCGGGTGCGGGAAACACAAACACAGGGAAGACACACAAACACAGACGAGGAGAAAGCAAAACAACACCGCAACCTGGCATAACGAGACGTGTCGTGAAACGGAAACCGAACGACCGTCGTGACAAATAAGACCGTTTCCGTTTGGTGGATCCACCCCCAGACATCTACCCCCTCCCAGCGCCAGGTGTTAGAACTGCCCCGCCCCGGCCGGGTGTCAGTGAAGGTCGCCTTTCAACGCCCTCCGCCCGGGGCGGCAGATGGCTCCAACAGACGCCCATCACCCAGCGCTGGCCATTCGTCCGGCACCCCGGCGACTTCTGAGGCGGCAGGACGGGGCCGCGGGGGCGGCAGTCGTGATAGGGTCGTAAAACAGGTCAGGAGCGGACTCACGCAGTCCAGGCTGGCTCCGCAGGGGAGTTGTGCAGGGTGCTGGGTGCTAGGGCGCAGGGAAGCAAGAGAGGGGCGAAGCGGTAATCAGGGCAGTGTGCACGCGGCAGACCAGACGTGCAGAATAGATAAGACACGGACATGGTATGGAATTAGGGGGAAGATTCATTCATTCATTCATTCATTCATTCATTCATTCATTCATTCATTCATTCATTCATTCATTCATTCATTCATTCATTCATTCATTCATTCATTCATATATTTACCCATTATTTCATCCTCAATTGATTCATTTCCTTTCTTTCATTTCATTCTTCATTTTTTTCATTCATTCATAGTTCCTATGTAAGGATGCTCCGTATTTATTTTGTTTAGCATCCAAAAGTGCGCTAATCATGGATTTCTTTGAACAAATCTTAGGACGTTACTTTTAAAGTTCGTGCACATTCAAAGTTAAAAATGACTGACAGAGCAAAATATTGGCTAATTCACCAACATCGTTTTTCATGCATTCAAAACAAGCTATATGACGTAATGAAGTGCTAATTTGGAGATCAACAAGAAAGCATGAATTTATCAGCGCGGTACGGGTTAGGTTAAGCATCGTAAATGAAAAAGTAACGAGAAGTAAAATATGTTAAGAAAATGGTGAAAAATTTAAGTTACCAGTACCTACTCCCCCCGTTCACGAGCCTCAGAATTCCTTTACCGTGACGTCACGTGGGCGGCAAAAATCCCTTCACCCTAGAGGTCTGCACCGGCCGGCTGCAGCCGCGGCTGGCTGCAGCCCCACGGCTGTGGGCCGGGGCGGCTGCAAATATCTCCAAGAACACGGCTACGGCTGTGGCCACGGCTGTGAGATTTCAAGCTCAATCTTAAGTACTCAAATATAAAATTTTAAATCCTTAATCTTACATTCTGATAAGCAGTATAGCCTGTAAAAATCATGCAAAGGATGCCCAGCAACATTGAAAGTGGTGAAGCCTTTGAGAACCTGTAATGGTTTTACCATTTGCTGTAGGGGAGTTTGCACTCTGGTACAGAATACTAATAATAGGTACCAATTGTTCCTTCATTATCAAGAGCTTGACAGTTTCAGAAAATGCAACATGTTGCATTGTCACATCCCTCTCAAATCAATCTCACCTGGTCATTAGGAGAGCACCTTACAGCTATTGAAGACGAGCGTTCAATAATTCTTTCAGGTAATAGAAAAAGAAATCATGCCTAGGTAAAGGCAGGTAAAGGCTTCATAAAATATTATCTAAAATACCTCTTAGATGAATTTCTGGATTTTCGGCAAGTCCAATTACAAAATATAAAACTGGCGCTTTATGTTCTAACTGGTGTGTGAGTGACCGCTAACAGAAAATGCCGATCAATGAAGCCAATGGAATTAGATTATAAGTGAGCATGAACCTTACTTACGGTTAATTCACATGATGGTGAAAACCCTGAACACGTAATTCACATGACGGTGAAAACCCTGAACACAATATTTCTTACGCGAGCTGTTGACTTTACTAACAAAATGACGTCTTCTTCTAGAAATGTAAAAATTTGATACTTGATCTTTGTTTTAGAGCAAGTTTTTAACTGCATAGCGTTATTATTTAAAAAATTATAATTTTTATGGCTGTTTATAGTGAAACAAAACAATTTATTGCCACTTCCTTTCTATTGACGTCATTAAAAACTCAAGTAAAATTTTTGATTGAAACAGGTAATTGTGGCTCGCACGTCCTTGGGGATTTGAGCGAAGATCATTATTTGGAAAAATCAAACTAGATGAATGTTTTTCTTTCTTGGATGCTCACTAGTGTTTTGATGCCTTGCATATCAAATTAGTTTGAGACTTGCTCGGAAGGCTGCTTCAAGCCTGGCATATCACACCCCAGAAAATATGCAAGGTAAGAAAGAAGCAAGAGTTTTGACTTAGACAATCACTGTTTGACAGTCCATCAACTTCAGTTTCATTTTCCATACCTAACATTGATAATGAAAAGCATCAGGGTCTGTTGTTCTGTCCCACAACCATGCTTCAGGATTTGGCATTAGATGTCTACACTGCTAGTGCTTCTATTCTGGTTTGTTGTTTATGTTTTCTGTTGATGTAGGTACCTACCTACCCATCTTTCTTAACAACTTGCAAGGGCTTGTGTAGGCATGCATTGCGCATCAGGCTTCAGGCCTTCGGCCTAAAGCCAGATACACAACCACTTAACCTATGATGCTTCATGAGCTTGAGAATCTATAGCCCATTGCAATGTGCCTTTGGCTATATGTTTCAACTAAAAACAACTTAGTATATACTATTTGGTTGCATTTCAT